TCTGTTTCTATTAATGGTGATCAAAGTATACCCTAAAGTTTATGAGTACTGGAAACTTTTCAGTGTCTAGGAACTAAATAGGATGTGTTTAAAAGGAGAGTCACAAATTTATAGCTGACGTCTGTATTTCTTTTGACCACATAACTTTTTGGACATTAGCAAAAGCTAAGGCATTTGTTTCGGATATCCATTTGCTGTTGTACTTAGAAACAGACTACATGTGTTGCTTACAACAGTTCTTGTATCCATCTGAAGAGGACTTGTATAAGTTGATAAGATTCTTGGTGGAGAGACTTCCTGAAGTTTCTGATGGAAAATCCAAGGTTTTGGAAGATGGTGATGGTAGAAAAGAAACGAAAGCTGACACTCTCAAATGCCACTATGTGTCGGGCCAATCAGACGCTATCGACACTGCTGATTCCGTTTTTACCCATCAGAAGGTTGAGAACAAACTTTCCGATCTTAATATTATTGCTGAAGAGACAAAATCTTCAGATTCCATTGTCGGTCGATTATCTGATTCCGGTGAAACAGCTATGGTTGATAACCTTGTTAATGCTCCCAAATATCAGTCTGAGGTTTCAGGAAATGAATCAGTTGCAGTGCAAGGGAATAATGGACAAGTATCAATTTCCAGACATGAAGTTAGTTCTTACATTCAAAAGAATGATGAAGTAAGTTCTTCTTATGGCTCCTAACTTCAAACAATTATTAAAATCTGTTGTGTATAAGAGAAAAGAATGAAATGGTCAGCCCCTTGGGAAAAGGTTATTTGATCAGATGATATAAAGAATATTGTATATCTTCTATTCTTGTTTTAAATGAGAATTGAGGCTGAGAAATTTCAGGATCAAGAGATCAGACCATTGGAAGAGGTCAGTACAAAGGCTTCTGAATTAGAGCATCTTCTTGTCGAGTTAGAAAGGTTGAAGGCAGCGACTGGAATTGTATTTGATGATAATCGCTCGATTGAAGTCCATCTTCAGGAACTGGAGGAGCAAATCAGTTCTAGAAAGCTGAATCTTCTTGCAGCGAAGTCGGGGTGGTGGGTCATCGTTTTAGTTTGATATCTGGATTAATTTTTATACTGCTTCTGCATTTTTAATTTAAAAACCCAATTTCAAAGAGAAGTTGAGTCCTAATACAAATATATAGATTTCATTTACTTTTTCTTTATCATTGAACTCTACAGGGATGCAGAGAAGGAGCTTTTGGAAAATAAAAGGCGAAATCTTCAAGAATCACTATGTGCAAGTAATCCGAAGGCTCCAGAAAAGCTGCAAAAATTGAGAGAGTTTGAATTGGAAAAGCAGCTCATCGAGTCGGAAATCAGGAGGCGGTATGCTACTTCTTTGAATATTAAATAGGAAGTGAATATGAATCCTTACTGAAATCTATGAAATATTCTCAGTATATCTAGTTATATTTTTCAAAATGAAACTATTGTCACAGGAAACTGATGTTTTAGATGCGAAGTAATTTGGAGATACCCTCCTTAGTCTTAGGTTTAGAATGAATTTTGGATTACTTTTGTAGGGTGAAAAGTGCTTTCAGCTGATCAAAATCACTTTCCAAAATTTTGTTGAATAGAGTTGGGCGAGTTCACTTGAACTCTTTATTAACACCAATTGAGAAGAGATTAGATGACACTCTATAGAAACTACTTGCACTCTGTGCTTTGAATTTCTTTTGATGAAGACGTTGGTAGGGTGGAGGAGTATTTAGCAGAGGGTAGACAATTTATTCCTAAAATATCTAACAATTTATTCCTAAAATACCTAAACCATTTTTCTAAAATACATAGACAATGGGCTCATACAACTATTGGGCTTAACCCTATTGGGCTAGTGATATATTTTAACACTCCCCCGTAGCACTAGTCCTCATTCGCTGCACCATGTTGAGTTGACAGCTAAAGCTCTCATATATGCCAGGATTCGGCCCTTTTGTAAACAAGTGTTGCCCACTATTTTGTTACACAAATATAAGTGCTCTTAAAAATTGTAATAGTCCTTGAAAGCACTTAGTATCTCAAGAGGAAGTACTTAATTGGTTTCTGTTCCAAAACTGCATACGGAAGAAGTTCTCCAATTAAACTTTTTTAATAAAAATCATCCGGAACTTACTATCAATTATCAATACCTTAATTACTTCTTAATCATTTGTGGTTTCTTGAGAAAGCTAGGTTTTGAAAATCATTATCAACCTGTCTTTATATAAAGTGATATCATAATTAGGTCTTTTCCTTTTGGGGTGGGTGGGTTTGTCATATTAAATTTGATGTTACTGTATCAAAGAGTAATCTGTACCTTTGTGGAGAGTTTATGGGGATCTATTGCGTGTTATGTTAGCATTTATATTCAAAAGTCACTACCCTGTTTCTCTTGTAATCTTGACACCTTTCATCATTTTTACTTTTTGGGTGGGTGGGGCAACTCGAAGAAAACTTCCTAAACATGATATGCAACGCAAAAATTTATAAGCAGTGGGGCGTCCTGTTGGCTTGTTATTATCTCTTGCTTATGTCTAACGATATTGATTTTTCCTCAAATATTGTCACACATCCTTCAGGGAGGAAGGAAATTATAATCTCTCAACAGAGCTTAAGAAGCAGCCAAAACAGGCATCGAGACGATCCTACATCGATAGGGTGAAGGAGATCACAAAAAATAGTCGGAAACAAGATGCTGACATTGACCGAATCCTTAAAGAAACTAGAGAGCTTCAGCTAGAAAGTAACAATATTCAAGAACGCCTCCATAGAACCTACGCAATTGTGGATGAGCTAGTTCTCAGGTATGCACCATAGAACTAGTGAGAACTGAAACAGAACTATTACATCATTGCTTTAAGTGGTATTAATCAGTTGGTTGACAATGATGTAGTAATAGCGTCCCATATCTTGCCCCTCATTTATGTTTCATACTCGACCGAAAAAAATTGACCTTTTATCTTGCTTAGAAAACTAGCTGAACAGATTCATATCCTGTGTAGGGAAGCAAAAAAAGAAGGCATAGGCAAGAAAGCACACAAACTCCTGACTAGTATCCATGAGAATTTCGGAGAGATCTCGAACAAAATCCTGTCTACGGATAGATTAAGAAGAGAAACTGCAGAATACGAGAAGAAGATAGCGGCCTCAGCATCCCGAAGTTTAGATTTTAACAAACTACAAGCTGATCTGGATGCTATCAGGAAGGAAAATAGTTGCCTAGAGCAAAATCTCTGCCATAAAAAACCCATTGACCAAATGTAGAATGTTTTCTGGATTTCTTTTGTTTAGTTGTAAATCAATCATGCTTATTGCAACAATTACATTCTAGTGCAAAGGAGAAACAATTCAGTTCAAATGACATCATCTGCTATTTACTTAAATGGGTTTTTTTCATTAATTAGTTGGATTGTGATTGCCTTATGCAACAAGCTTCTGGCTAGGATTCAGTTGTGTATTGAAATAGAAGATTCATCATCATTCTTGAGGTTGGTGTTCGTTGCTTTTCAAGTTACTTACCCAATTGGTGGTTAAGCAGTCCTATGTCTCATCCCTTAACATTTTCATACATCTCTTCCACCAGAAAGAATTCTTCAATTTCCATAATGATCAAGGAATCCGTTATTAGAAAGTAAAAAAAACAAACATACATATGTAACAGTTCAAGTGTCTTTTTAAGTTTTTCTTTTCAGACTTCTCAGGAACGCTAGGTCCCAAAAGTGGGTGGATTGGGGGTTCTCACATTAATTGGAAAAGGGAACAAGTGTTAGCAAGGATGTTAGGGAGGATTGTGAGATCTCACATCGATTAGGAGAATGAAACATTTTTTTATAAAGATGTGAAACCTTATAAGAGGCATGAGAGGAAGCCCAAAAGGGAACGCCCAGTGAACAATATCTACTAACAATGAGCTTGAACGGTTACCCCTTCTATTTTGTTCTAACTATTTCATTTTGATTTTTGGCTTGGTTCTCTTTTACAAAAAAAAAAAAAAAAAAAAAAATTTAAAAACAGTTTTCAAAGCTTAGCACTCATTTTGAAAGCATTTGTTAATATATGTAATAAATATATTGCATCATCATTATTTTAATCTAATAAATATGAAGTACGAAGATTTGAACATTGACCGTTCATTTTATTTTATGTTTTCGAATAAAATCAATAATTTTATCTACGATTCATTGTAACAAAAAAAGCTCTACTAGTTACTGACTAGGTCAATTATATATATCGATATAATTATATATTCATATAATTAAAGGGTAGATAAAGATAATAAAAAGAGATAAAGAATAAAGAGAGATAGAAGGGCTCTTTTCAAGCCTTCATTTTCTATTTTTTATACTATGTATCATAGTAATTAATGGCTAAGTGTACTAAAGTGTCCGATTGCTAATCCGTTGTACGAGTTTTTTGTATCGAGGGTTTGAATCCCTCTCTTTCCGTTTCTGTCAATGACTTGTTATTTTTTACCTGGAATAGATAAAATTTTTAGAACATTCCAAAATCAAGCAAGGAAAAAAAAAATCATTTGTTTTATTCTTCACGTCCTGGATTACGTCCCGGGTCATTTAGATAGAAATCCGAAAATGAAAAGAAAAACAAAGAATATTATTACAGTATAAACAAATAGTTTTAGAATAAGTATTACCCAATCTCCCAGATTTTTTTTTTTTTTTTTTTAAAGAATAGATTCTCAAATCTTAAATCTCTTGTAATAAAAAAAATGCAGATATTAGGCAATGGGTTGCCATAATAACAATAGTTTTAGACATTAATGAGAAGCAAGTGGTTAGTGTGTTTAGGACATTGACCTTTTCTACCTTACATAGAATCATGAAACCTTAATTTCTCCGTAAACAGCCAGTGTCGGTTTCAGATTTTATACGCACACGTGTACGTCTCAAAACCTGCCAAGTGGCATCTACCATAGGACCCCACCACCATAAATCCACATAAATCAAAATCATCTTTAAAAACACACAACCAAATCAATGCATTCCTTTCTTGTTTGTTTTGATTGTTGGGTAAATTTCCCCAATCATCTTTAAACAGACTCTCTTTCTTCCCCAATGATTTTCTCTCAACATTTATCCCCATCTTCCATTTCCATAGATTATCATAGCCATTGTTGCTGCTCCATTTCTTCCTTCCCTTTGTGATTTCAATATAGATTTCTATTTGGAGAGAAATGGGGCTTCTTGATTCCTTGTTGGATAGAGATTCAAGAAAGTTTATCAAACGAAAAGACAGCGATGCAGGAGAAGCTGGTAGATTTTTTCAATCCTTTTTGGTTCATTTTCTTTTCCATTCAAAGGATTCGTTTGATTCTCTGCTTATTTTTGTGATTTCTGGCGTCTGGGGTTGTGTTTTTTTTTCCTGCTCTTGATCAATCGTTAAATTTTGGATCCCAGATACAATTTGAAGATGTATATAAACCCAAATGATAGGTAGAGTGTGATAACCTGCATTGGTTGGGGGAGGACGAAACATTGTTTATAAGGGTGTGGAAACCTCTCTTCAGTAGACTGCATTTTAAAAACTTTGAGGGAAAACCGGAAAGAAAAAGTCCAAAGAGAACAATATTTGCTGGTGGTGGGCTTGAGCCGTTACAAATGGTATTAGAGCCACACACGGGGCGATGTGCTAGCGAGGAGGCTGAGCCCCAAAGGGGGGTGAACACGAGGCGGTGTGCCAACAAAGACGCTGGGCCCAAAGGGGGGATGGGGGTCCCGCATCGATGAGAAAAGGGAACGAGTGCCAGCGAGGACGCTGGGTGCTTAAGGGGGGTGGATTGTGAGATCCCACATCGGTTGGAGAGGATGCAACATTCTTTAATAGAGTGTGGAAACCTCTCCCTAGCGTGAGAAGCCCGAAAGTGAAAGCCCAAAGAGGACAATATCTTCTAGCGCTGTGCTTTGGCTATTACAAATGGTATCAGAGCTAGACACCGAGCGATGTGCTAGCAAGGAGGCTGAACCCCGAAGGGGGGTGAACATGAGGCAGTGTGCCAGCAAGGACACTGGCCCCAAAGGGGTGGATTTGGGGGGTCCGACGTCGATGGGAGAAGGGAACGAGTGCCAGCTAGGATGCTAGGCGCTGAAGGGGAGTGGATTGTGAGATCCCACATTGATTCGGGAGGACGAAACATTCTTTTCACACCCTAGCAGACGCGTTTTAAAAACCCTGAGGGAAAACCCGAAAAGGAAAGTCCAAAGAAGACAATATTCGCTAGTTTTTACATTCATCGGTTTGGATACGGGGAATTCATGATTCTTATTGATTTTGTTTTGCTTCTTATTGTTGATCTGTTGAATTGTTCTAAGGTCTGCAGATTCTTATATTGAATGTAGTAAAAATATGAGATTGTTGCCTGTTTCCTATTGATCATTGGTCTTGTTATCCATGTTTTATGTACAGAACCTCTCATATTCTATAAATCCGCAGGCCGAGCGCTCGAAGAAATTAGAGGTTCGCTCTATAACGAACTACGAACTTCAGACGGAGCGAAACGCCAACAGCAACGATACTGCGGTCCGGTCGTGGCGATGACATTCAATTTCATGGTTGCTGTTGGAATCATTATGGCAAACAAATTAGTAAGAAATGTTACATTTGATGAGCTGAAAGTGTTCATATGTTCTTTATGCTTATTATTTTCAGCTGTGTTTTGCTGTTTTGTAGGTTATGGGAAGAGTTGGATTTAACTTCCCAATATTCCTTACATTAATCCATTATACCGTTGCCTGGTTTCTACTAGCAATTTTCAAGGCACTTTCTTTGCTTCCTGTTTCTCCTCCTAGCAAAACCACTCCCTTCTCTTCCATTTTCTCCTTAGGTGTTGTCATGGCTTTTGCTTCAGGTCTTGCCAATACTAGTCTCAAGCACAACAGGTTTCCCGCTCGGTTTCCCTTTTCTTTTCCTTTACGACACGTCGGTCAGGCAGGGGACGGGGATGGGGACGAGGGTGTTATCTTGATATCTTACATTGAATTCTATGTGCAGTGTTGGATTCTATCAGATGGCTAAGATTGCAGTAACTCCCACCATTGTTTTCTCAGAGTTCATACTTTTCAAGAAGACCATTTCATTTAAAAAGGTTCCAGAACAATGACACTTCTACTTCCTTTGTTGTTAGTTATGATAATGTGTTTTCAGACACAGACATGTTTTGTGTAGGTTTTGGCTTTGTCTGTTGTCTCTGTTGGCGTGGCAATCGCGACGGTAACGGATTTAGAGTTCAACCTGTTCGGCGCTTTGGTTGCGATTTCTTGGATAATCCCAAGTGCTATAAACAAGATTTTGTGGTCGAATCTGCAGCAGCAAGCGAGTTGGACGGCGTTAGCGTAAGCTCTTGTTACTTTGCAATGAATTTGATTCAACCATTGAGGAACCAATGCAGTAAACTTGTGGTGTGTTAGGTTGATGTGGAAAACTACTCCAATTACAATATTTTTCTTACTTGCTCTCATGCCTTGGCTGGATCCACCAGGAGTTCTGTCTTTTAGATGGGATCTCAGTAGTTCAACTGCTATTTTGATATCAGCTCTGCTTGGTTTTCTCTTGCAATGGTCTGGAGCTTTGGCACTAGGGTGAGACTAAACCCCTCATAACATTACTTTTTCCCTGGTCTTTTTTCGTGTTCTTCTTTTCGTAGTGCTTGAACTCGATCGTTGTGTTTGTTTAGCTCTTGAACTCGTAAAAGTTGAAAAACCTGTTGATTATGGTGGGAAGTCACATCAACTAGCTAGAAGGGCATCAGATCAGTCTGAGTGTGAGATCCCACGTCAGTTGGATAGGGGAACGAAACATTACTTATTAGGATGTGGAAACCTCTCTCTAGAGTGCTTGAACTCGATCGTTACGTTTGTTTAGCTCTTAAATTCGTAAAAGTTGAAAAACCTGTGATTTTGGTGGGATGTCACATCAACTAGCTAGAAGGGCATCATATCAGTCTGAGTGTGAGATCCTACATCAGTTGGAGAGGAGAATGAAGCATTCCTTATAAGGGTGTGGAAACTTCTCCGTAGAGCACTTGAACTCGATCGTTACATCTGTTTAGCTCTTAAACTCGTAAAAGTTGAAAAACATGTTGATTTTGGTGGGATGTCACATCAACTAGAAGAGCATGGATTAGTCTTTAATCACAAGGAATGTGGTTGACTGTGAGATCTCACATCAGTTGGAAAGGGAAACGAAGCATTCTTTATAAAGATGTAGAAACCTCTTCCTAGAGTGCTTGAACTAAATCGTTATGTCTGTCTAGCTCTTAAACTCGTAAAAGTTGAAAAACATGTTGATTCTGGTGGGATGTCACATCAACTAGAAGAGCATGGATCAGTCTTTAATCACAAGGAATGTAGTTGAGTGTGAGATCCTATATTGGTTGGAGAGGGAAACGAAACATTCCTTAAGGGTGTGAAAACCTCTCCCTAGTAGACGTATTTTAAAATTTTGAGAGGAAGCTCAAAAGGGAAAACTCAAAGTAGACAAAACTTTGAGAGGAAGCCCGGAAGGGAAAGTCAGGACAATATATGCTAGCAGTGAGCTTGAGCTGTTACATTGGGTTTGTGTTAATCTTTTGAGTTTCGATACGCCTCTTCTTACTTCAATAGCAGTGTTGTTCAAATTTGTGCAGTGCAACCTCTGCAACATCTCATGTTGTTCTGGGACAGTTCAAGACTTGTGTGCTTCTGCTGGGAAGTTATTTTGTTTTCAGGTCGGATCCCGGGTTCGTGAGCATTTGTGGGGCGATCACAGCTCTCGGTGGAATGTCTGCTTACACATCCCTTAATCTGCAGCAACAACACGACAACAAGCAACTTCCGAAGCATAACTTGCCGATGCCAATGCCGATGCCCGAAAACAGCAGCGTTGTAGAAGATGCTGCAAAGTTGGATGTACAAAGTTCTGATGTTGCTGTGTAGAGATTGAATGAATGACTTGAGCTAGCTTGAGTTCTACAAGTTTTTGAAGTTTTTTTTGGGTTAGTTTGATGGTAGATTCATCTTTGTTCTCAAATCAATCAACCAAGAGTCATGCAAATATCTTTCTTGTAATACTCAATACAATTTTATAGAGAGATACCATATTCTTACCGGCAAAAGTTACATTAATAACTAAATCCTCCTAAAACTCAAATATCAAATATTGATAAAGTTATATCCCCAGGTTGGTTGGGTTGACCCAATAAAAAAAGTGTAAACCAGTGAATCCCAAATTTTAAATTTTCAAAAAATTCAACCCAACTAAAGCTGAAGCACTGTGGGTTATATATATAGTTTTACCAAATATAACTATCTATTATATATATATATATATATATGGTAGATCTAGTCAACCGATAATTTCTTTCCCAAACGATTATCAGAATCTTCACTGCACCATACCAATATTCCAACATCAACACATTTTGTAACATGTTTGTTGGATTCTTTGCGCCCTCTATTTTCTCTAAACACATCTCCATCTTCTACTAACTTGCAAGTGAAATTGTATCGTCTTTTAGTGTTTTGTCTTTGAATGATAGACTAGGTTCCTTACCAATTATATGACATTCTGGTTATCTGTATAAAGAATCTTCTCGTGCTGCTTCTTGCCCAATTTTTCTTGATAGTCTATCATCTATATCATCTCCTTTCCAGCTTTAGCTATTGCCATGTACTCAACCTCAATAGTTGAAGGAGAAATACAATTCTGAAGTCCAGACATCCAACTCATCTCATCATCCATGCCTTGTTTCCTGTGGTTGTATCCTCCAGCTGTAGGGCATCATCAAAGGGCTTTGGTTCCCCTTCATCAGTCAACAACATATATTGTAATGAAGGTACATACCTATCTGGTACTCTGGTAGCTCTGGATGATCTTTTCAACACCTGCTCAGGTGTCACTTGCTCCACCTCTGGTTCATGAGTAACAGTCTCAGAAGTTTTTTGAGTATCTGCTACAACATCACTTAGTGAATTGTTCTGCAACAACCTCAACTTCCACCTGCTTCGTTGTCCCGAAACCATTCTTCTCTTTGTCCTTGTACAAGACATTTCATCAAAAGTCATGCTATAGTGTCCCAGAACTTTTCGGTTCTTGTCATCCCAACACTTATCCTCGAACACATCAGAACCATAGCCTATGAGGTAGCACTTCACAAGCTTAACATCAAGCTTGTCACTCTTCTCTAGATCAACACGAACATACTCAGTACAGCTAAAAGTTCTCAAGTGAGAGTACTTGAGTTCTTTTCATATCCATACTTCTTCCGGCAATTTGAACTTCAAAGGTACTGATGACCCTCTATTGATCAAATAGGCTACTGTGTTCGCAGCATCACCTTAAAAGGTCTTTGGTAGTCCATAATAAATCCTCATGCTTCTTGCTCGCTCATTCAATGTTCTGTTTATCCTTTCTTTAACTTCATTTTGTCTTGCCTTACTATAAACTATCCTCATTAATCTAATTCCCTCGTCTGCACTAAATGTTTTAAATTCTGATTTTTCGTACCGTCCTCCATTGTCAGACCAAATGCATTTGATCTTTAAGCTGGTCTAATTTTCAACTTCAGCTTTCCACTTCTTGAAGGTGGCAAACACATTTAACTTGTGTTTCAGGAAATAAATCCTTATCTTCCTACTGAAATCATCGATTAAGGTGACGTAGAACTTTGATCCTCTAAGTGATGGAACTGAAGATGGTCTTCAAACGTCTGTATGGACCATTTTCAAAGCATTTTCTTCAGTTCTTCAGTAGCCATTGTGAAACTGACTTGTTTATGTTTACTCATAACGCAACTCTCACAAGGACTTATATCAACAGAATTCAGGTTTTCCAAAACTCCTTTCGCAGATAACATCTTCATTCCTTTGGTGCTCATATGTTCAAGTCTATTGTGTCATTGACTTGAATTTGAAACTCTCTCAGAAACAATAACCATGTTCATACACCCTGCAATGGTGTATAAGGTTCCAGATTTTGTGCTATGTGCTACCACCATATCACCCTTTATAACCTTCCACAAACTCTTTCCAAACTCTGTTGCACAATCTGTGCTGTCCAACTGACCAATAAAGATCATGTTCTTGAGACCAGAAATATATCTGACATACTTTAATGCCCACTGATTTCCTATCGAATTTTTATGCAGACACTCTCTTTTCCATCAATCTCCAAATCTTTGTCAGCAAGATACACCTTCCAGACTTGAGATTCTAAAACAACTCTTTATTTGGAGACGAATGAATAGATGCACCTAAATACAAAATCTAGGATTCAATCAAACTGTCCATGGTGAGGATTAGAGCATCCCAATGGATTTTGCTGAATTTATAAAATCATCGTCATTCTCTAATTTTTGAATTTTATTCCTCTTTGGTCTTATACAATCTGCCTGAAAGTGACCATTTTCTCCCCAACCCCAACACGTTACGTTTGGTCTGTATGAAAATTTTTCACTATTCTTTGATTTTGATCAACCCTTGTTTGGACTCTTCGATTTACTTCTTCCCCTTTGGGCAACACTGAGAACACCACCAGATGAATCTCCAATTTCTCGTTTGCAATACTTTCGCTGAGAACTACATCCCGAATTTCATTGAACTTTAGTTTCTTAGATTCTTAGAAACTGCTAAACGCGGCAACAATAGTATCCCACGACTCGGGTAAAGATGACATAAAAAACAATGCTTTAATTTCATCTTCGAAATTAATTTGTGCGAACTCAGTTGACTTACAATCTTATTGAATTCATTTATACGATCAGCAATAGATCCACCTTCAGACATTTGTAGATTGAACAATCTCCACATCAAATACACCTTGTTCATAGTTAAAAAAATTTCGTAAATATTTGACTACACCTTCAATAGATTTGACATTGTCTTCTCCTTGATGATTTTGAACACCACGTTTCTAGATAGCGTCAACCGGATCAACTCTAAGGCTTATCGATCCTTAAGCTTCCACTGCTCCGTGGTCATGATATCCAGCTTCACCCCAACAAAGGTTGGTGAAAATCTTTCTGGTACAGATAATCTTCAATCTACATCTTCCAGAAATCGAAATCGAATCCATTGAACTTCTCAATTGCAATCTTTGAACTTTCCATCTTCACAGATCGTGGTGAATTTCGCCTAGTTTTGATACCAGTTGTTAGGCGTGGTGAATTTTTCCTAGTTTTGATACCAGTTGTTAGGATTGCACAACACCGCACACACTCGATCTTGATGAACATAAAGAATAAGAGAGAAAATGCAAGGAGAAATATTGGCTAAATGTTTATATTGATGACTTCAGTATGCACAACAAAAGAGAATACATAGAAGATAAAAAGTACATCTTCAAAGCGAGGGGTATATATATGGTTTCAGTTTACTATATATAGTTTTACCACATATAACTCCTACTATATATAAATATCTACCATATATTTTTCTACCAACTTTTTTATTGTAAGCAGTCGTTTATTATATATTTTACATATATAGTTTTATTATATATAACAATTGAATAAGTTATAAATAGGTCGTATACTTCATATCTCCTTACTTTAAAACATTATTTATGAATGTGAAAGTTAAAATATGAGTGAAAAATAAATTGGTTTTCTTTTTAGACCTCACTTAATTTTTCAAGAAGATGCAAAACCCAGAAATAGATTATCTGGTAGTCCGATTACCACCCTAGTCCGAATCACAATATAATTGTAATTTCAAGTTGTTTTCGGTAGAAGTCGTAGAACAGGTGTTAAAAAATGGTCATATTAGACAATTTATGTAGTGTTAAAATGGTTAGCTTAGACCATTTCTTTGCTATGTTAAGACCACTAAATAATTGAGTGGGTTGTTAATTTTTATTTTTGGAGTTTGCTATTTTTATCCTTGTTAAATTAATTAGTTGTAAGGCCTATAAACCAATAAATTTAGCAAAGATAAAAATAGTGTGAGTTGATGAGGTGTCATTTCATTTTTTGATTAGATTCGTATCATTGAGACACTTCTTGCTCACCAACATCATCAGCGTCACTTGGATCTTCAAGTACATCAGCATTTAAGCAAATGTTTACAAGTTGCTCCCTCATCTTATGTGAAAGGGTTTTTTCAATGTTGTCCAAGCCTAATAATACTTCCTTCTTTGAGAGCCAACTCGCTTCCATTACACCACTTTGATCGTCAGTCATGCAGTTTGAGCATCCTGAATCAATGATCCAGTCATCATCGTAATCAATATGTTCTTTCATCAGAGCCATAAGCGCTAGCTAGTCTTCTCTATGACACATATTGTCTATGCATCCCATTCATTCTCCATCTTCTTTTTGGAGGTTGCCACATTGTTTTCGGCAGACTTTGTCTTGGACCAACAATTCCTGGACATGTGACCCTTCTTCTCGCAATTCTAGCAAATACCTTCAAATCTCTTCCCTTCAGAGTTCTTGTTGTCATTCTTCTGACCTCTCCCTGGTTATGTAGTTTCTTGGTGGCTTCTTTCTTTGTCACCATTTTTGTATCCACATTTGGTAGACGACTTATTGTTGCTCCAACTTTCACTTGTGTAGAGTGCTTCTTCTTCACCCTCTAATGTGATTCCTCCCATTTGTTTAGCCATGGTTTCTTCACTGGCTAGCAAATTTTCAAACTAAACAAGTGATGGTTGAGCAAACCATCTTGTACATCAATAACGAAGCTTCCATATTCTTGTCACAATCCGTGGATAATGATTCTCTTCATTCGAGATTCTTTAATGACGGACTTCGGGTCTAGTTCAGTAATCTTCCGACAGATCGATTTGACCTTGTGGAAGTACCGAACAATTGTCATGCCACGTTGTGAAATTGACAACAACTCGTTCTCCAGAAGTCATACTCTTGTATTGTTCTTCTTTGAGAATAGCATCATGAACGTATCCCATACTTCTTTCAATGTCTTGTCATCCCAAATGTGCTCTAACATCTCTTCTCCGATTGTGGTCTTCAAGGCAAACATTGTTTTGCCTGCTTTGATTCTCCATTTGCGCAAGGCGCCGTTAGAATCCTCCTCTGACGGCGTACTTTCACTCCCGTCAACGATCTCCAAAGGTCATGTCCTTGTAAATAAG